TATCTTTCCTCTAAACCCTTTCCAGTTTGTTTTTTGAATTTTTGCACAAAGCTACACAAGGGCTATCTGCGCTAGCCGTCCTTACTTTAGCAGTGTAAGACTAGAGGGAAGGCAGCTATTCATCACCACCCACCGCCAACTCTTTTACCAACGAATAGTGGGATTGACCGTCACATTATAATGCCCCCACGGCTGAAAGGGCGAGCATGTTCGGTGTGACAGGGAATTGAACCAGCTTCCCTCAGATTGCGAGTCGAGCGCCTTATCCACCTGGCCAATTTGAGATAAGAAGATTAAACCTGTACACATTATTCCCAGTGAGGCCTAACTATTAGTTTCTGTAGAGAGAATTTACTTTTTTGACTTGTAATCAACATGTCAAAACACTCTAAAATTCTATTAGTTTTACTATTAACAATAAAGCAATGGTTTGAGTGACTTTTCCACCACTAGGTCAAGATCCTTTTCTTAAGTTATGCCAATGTTAGAGTTACCATATTAAACAAGTGATCCACATTATAATAATCCAAATGCATTATGTTGCAGTTATAGTAATTAAACGTCATATACCAAGTATTTGTCACAAGTCATTCTGCAATACCGTGTTTTCATTGCATCTAGAAATACCATATGTATATAAACTTTATTAATTTAGTAATTGTGCCATAATGGTGTCTTTAATGTAAATAAGAAAAATGCAGAGACTCTAGGACTGATCCCCTGAGACATTCCACTAGTAACAAGGGTCCAGTATGATTGGACTCCATTAATCACAAACCTTTGCTTTCTCTTATTCAACTACCTTACAATCCAATTAATTAGTCTTTCCCTAACCCCTACCAATGTGATTTTCTTAGCTAATCTTTTACATGACAGGTTTTCCAAGTATTTTTGAAATCTAAGTACACCAACTATGCACCTTTTCTCTTATCTTGAGCTAATCTTTTACATGACAGGTTTCCAAGTATTTTTGAAATCTAAGTACACCAACTATGCACCTTTTCCCTTATCTTGATAACAAATAACATCCTTGAAAACAGATTAGTAAAGCAAGATTTCTTTTTGTCGTAAGCCTTCTTTTACCAGATTCTCTAGAATTTTCCCACTATACTAAATCTACCAGGCCTGCAATTTCCAGGGTAATTCTTATCACCTCCTTTCAAAATAGGAGTAATATAAGCAACTTTCCAGTCCTCAAACACATGCTAACTGTTGTAAACCAAAAATGGGAGCTTTGCATATCTGATCTTTGATCTTTAAAATCCTAGGGAAGATAATGTCTGATACTGGTGCTTTATCTACTTTTAATCTCTCAATCTTTTTTACTTACCACCAATATATTAATATCTACATGATTCAGGTCAATTATAATATTTCTTACAGAATACTCAGGATCAGGAATATTGATATCTCCTTGAAAAACACAGAACATTTAAAAGTTCAAACATCTCATAGTCTTCAACAAAAAACCTTGCTACCAGTATTCTTTAAGGGTTAAATCTTCATTCTAAGATTTTGCTTACCTTTAAGATATTATACAACTCTCGTAACACATCTTCATTAATGATTAACTATAAATCTAAAATAGAATCCCCTTTTGTTAGCTCTTGGACCATTGAGTACAGAAAACCACCATGAATCACTCTGACGAAATCTAATCTCTTTCCCTCTTCATTTGACTGCATCTAATCCCAATTAATGCATCAAAATTTAAAGACTCTCATGACAATTGCAACATTATTCTTTATTATTAACACTCCTGATCTCGTTATACAATCTCTCACTGATATCATCTGTGTGATATAGTGACCTACAACAACTGCCAATTAAAATTTTTCTACCCTCAAAAACACTAAATTGTATTTCATATAGATTCTTTTTTATATCTTTAGTCTTAAAAGACTAAAGCTCATCCATTTAGAAAGCCACTCCACCTCCTCTTTTAAAACATAACCTATGTACAACCAGAGACCATTAGGTCATTCAAGGCTGTACTTGCACACTCATCTTAAGGAAGCAAAAATAAAAACCCACCCTTTACTTTTCAGAAAATCAATGATTCCCCTGTTCCACGCCTGTAAAGTGTTGGCTTCCACCACTGCCAATGGCAACTCACAATCCACAAGTCAATCACCTTGTTTGAAAGATAATTTTAATCTATCTTTAAATGAAGCCTAGCTTATTTTTTCCAAGTCTTAAAATTGCATCCTGTTACCTTAAGAATATGACAAAAAGAAATTGGAGACCCTAATCTTATTCATCCTACAAACAATTATGTTATAATAAGCTAAAAGAAGATGTAGGAAAGATATGAGAAATTTTTAAACTTGAATTGCTTGGTGTATTTAAAAAAAAGGTGCCATAAAGATTATCTGTCACGAGACAGCTGAGTTTTTCAATGTTCTCTTCTATTTTCACATGAGAGGACATTATAATATTCCTAAAACAGAACATCTTATGGAAAATATTGAAACTGACTTGAATCATCTGAACATTAAGTTGAACATTATGGTGGCAAAAAAAAAAGGGCTTAGAGATAAACATAAAGCACAAGGACCAGAGATTGTTCTTTTGAGGCTTTTTATATGGGATCAAAATGTAAGCCTTTCTCTTTCATATTTTGGTATGTCAATAGCCAGTAGCAGAACCCATAGAGGAAGTTATGATTTTACTAAAAGACAACTTCAGATCAGCCAACCTAGATACGATTACCAAGAGCTTCTTGAACTAGCCATAACATCATGCATGATGGGCAGCCAAGGCATTATATGCCCTCAAAATCTGGATGTTTATGGGACAGTTTAAACTCAGTGGCCCAGACTTCTTCAGATGCCTTGAAATTCCATCTAGATTTCTGGATTACGACCCTGAGTTATGGAAGCTCAGGGAGAGACACTACAGAGAGTTCAACACTTGAATGTGGTAAATGAAAATACTAAAAGGGGTGTGGCCCTTATTAAGGAGTAGAACGCCATCATAGCAAAGAACAACAGAAACAAATCCTCCTTCAAATTCTGCAGGTTTATAAAAGATGCATTCCTAACATCAAAAAGAAAACAATAACAATGCAAATGTGACTAACCACATCAAAATCATATGCTATAATACATGCAAGAAAATAAGAACATACTTTAAGTAATCATTTATAATATATATATATATGTTTTCATATTATATAATACATACAGTTCCAGACCACTGTAGTCTAGAATTTTAACCTCACTGAGCAACCTTTAAATATAGTCCATAATGAATGAAGTTTGACATTTAATGTTTTTTGTTGTACACTGGAACAAAACTAAGGGGTGATAGCTTTAGAATTTTTAACCTAAAAATTTTACCTGCAAATAAGGACCACCCTAATGTTTAACATACCTAGGAACCCTCTAAATTATAAATAGCACGCCTGAAAAAATTAATCTTAGCACAACAGTACACATGTCACAAAAGCCATTGAGGCAGAAGTCTGTTGCAAGAAGGGTATGAGGTGATTATATTGAAGTTTCCAAGACTTTCTAGAAGATTGATAGGATAATTAAATACTGTATGAAATGTTATTACTTTGCTCTCAATGTATTCATATTCAAATCTGTTTTAATATCATACATGTAACTGGATTCAAGCCACCTATTAATAATAGCTGACCAAGGTAACTGTGTTTTAATATTGTAAACCAAAATATATCCAAAATATGTATGTGCATTTACTTGAATGTACAAGTTCAAGAGAATGATTCTCACTGGTAATGGTCATTGGACAATCTTTGTTTCACAGCTTCCTTTTGTTAATGATTATACTAATTTGCTATGGTATTTCTAAGAACCGTTTGTACTTTTAACTTTAGGTTAGTCTTTACTGTATACAATGTAACTACATCAAAAACTAGAAAAAAAACCTCAACCCTGTTTGAATATAAATCATTAAATGCAAATTTAAATGTTCATAGTATTTATTATTAGAACATTTTCTGCCTTATATTATAAAGTTAGTATGAATATGATGAAATAACAACAAATTAATAATATTTTGATCATTGTCATGATTTTCATTTTTAGTTACTTGCCTGATCATTACAGAAGAATTTAACATTGGAATGTTGTATTCGACTGTTATACTGTTTTAGTTAAGTACTTACACTATAAAATAGTTAACCTCCATTAAACGTTAAGTGAATGGTAGTTAATCTTAGCTGTTTTCACATATCACTATTAGTATTACTAGTACTATTTAGACTAGAGCTGACATTATATAGCATGAACACAGTGTAAGTTACATCACAAGAACTAACACAGATTATGTACACTATTAATATTATTTGTACGTCTAGTACTGTTGTGAAGTAAAAATAATACTAATACTGTAGTCTATTGTAATAACACATGTATATCAGAGCAAGTCTGGCAGACCAGGCAACAGCCAGACCAGTATTTTGTCACATTAGCTGTACGGCTTTTTAAACTTTAACTTGCATTTAAAAATTATTTCTATGTAAATAGATACTTATACTATAGCAGTATGGATGAATCAGTATAACAGTGCATAGTAAATTAGATGTGTAATCTCCAAGCGTACATACTTGTGCTAGCTTATAGATATGGTGAGTATAACTTATAAGTGCCAGTAAACACCCGTTTTTGTGAATCATAAACAAGTTCTTACAAATGATTAATAATAATAGTACTTTCAATACATTATAGTAAAACTAAAAGTAGCACAAAATGTAATCTCAGAACACCTATTTTTCAAAATGTTCCTGAGGATAGGAGGCATGCTTTGCATGCTAAAGTGTGTTTTGCACACTATTCTGAGTTGCCTAACCAATCCAAAATTTTCCTCCACCCCTGTAACTATTAAAAATTATTATTGTAATTTATACTAGTTTTACTACTACTACTAGTAACGTCCTTACATTAGTTAATAAGTAATAAATTATTAACATATATGATATATGTAATCCAGCAAAGAAAAAAATGTAATCAGAATTCAAGTAAAAAACTTACGAATACACTGTAAGTGTAACTTTTAATTACTGATAATCCGTAAATCTTGAAAAATATAGACTTAGGCTTAGGTAGCTCTAAAATTATATTTTATATAACGTTACGTATAAGCTAAAACTCTCCCCTAGTGACGACTCTTTAAAACATATTTTTACCATTTTATATATTTGTGTCTAATATTTCACAAAGTAGGAAGATAATAGGTTATTTTTATAATACAAATTAACGTTCGCCGTTAAAAGATTCTAAGAATAATATAATTAATCACTTCAAATATCCAGTCATAAGATATTAAAATATTATAAAATGTTTAATAAACGTCAAAATAATTAGTATTAATACAATCCATCTCTTTTTGATTTGTTTTTATCTCACTCCGAAATTCGATATTGCTAAAGAAAATAGTTTCACAAACTCTTCACTAGGAGATTTTGAAGAAAGTAGGGATAGTTTTTTTACTGTTTCCTTCTTGTATTAATTTAGCATTGGCATTTCTCTCAGACTTAGTCATGTCATAGCAGCATTAATATGTTTATGTAGATCATCGTCCCAAGCTCAATTTGTAATAACAAGCTCCTCATAATTTCTCTCTTAACTCTTCCTTCTCCAGGAAGTACTCTTATTTGTCTATCATTAACAGATTCCCATTCATTATTGTTTTTCATTTGTTTCGTATTGATTCGCTGTTCTAGTCTAGCACCAGTCTTAATATTTAGGTAATTCTTGTAGTTTAAGTCTAATGTCTTGTAGTTTAAGATTTCTACCCAAGTCTTGTTTATAAGTAATACCACAAAATTTTGTGAATTTCGCGTAATTTAAAGCTAATAATTTGTTATTATGTATTATGACAAGTATTTTTTCCCAAAACCGCTTTCTCTAAAATCGTCAATTCACTGACCCATAGTTTCCTCAATGTTTACGTTACAGATGAGTTTCTTGTTATTCACATCTTTTTTTTTGTTATTGTTTAATTCTTCAGTAAAAATTTTCTATGACAGGAGTCTCATTTTTTAGAATTAATTGTTGTTTCAATATCAATTTCAATTAATTTTTTTACAAGTTACAGCTTTTACACTAATTTAAGGAAAAATATTTTTATAACAGGTACGAAATGTACTTGAGAATGATTGTACTAGTGATCAAAACGTTGTACCTGTTCTAAAATATATTCTTCCTTACTGTAAAAAAATTAAAATGCAATAAAATAATACTTATACTTAGTAAATAAACTCAAACGGATCTACAATTTTAAATTTGTTGTAACAATACCTTGCATCTTTCTTCTAGCAGGCCACCAATCACTTATTATCACGTTAGCCTATATGTACAATTATACACAGACTTTTCTCTACGTTAAAATAATTTTATTTGCTAGCTTTCGGTCCTCTTACTGGAGCTTTCAACAGGCAATAATGTACTGATAGAGCTAGACTCGACACATGAAAATAGTATGTCATTAACAACCCTAAAAACATTATTTATACGTTTGAGTGTCACACTGTCAGAAAAATTGTCTCTTAAAAAAATATGTCTATATCTTTTACGTAGCTTTACTAAACCTTGAAATTTTATCAAATTTGTGATATACCAAAAGTAACGTATCAGATATATGCATAATTATTTTGTTATGCCCTCCCCCCACTCGGTGGCTAAATGGTAATTCTCAGGGCTTATAGATCATTGTGTAACTTTGTCTTTATAACAAACAAGCAAATTAGAGTTATGCCATCAAAGAAAAATTAAATAACAACAACCTAATTAAAAAAATTATTATAGTAATACAATTTTATTTGATAAATATATATGTAAAGCTTTCAGCGAGATTTTTACTAGAGGACGCTTTAATCGTATTTTACATGATAAGGGAAAGAGGACTACCGGCTTTCGCAGTCCGTGCTGGTTGCCGACAGCTGGTGGTGTCAACGTAGAGAGAAAGTCTGAATCATCCTAACTAAACTGAACCAGCACTAGTAACTAGTAGTATATGTAATTTAATTTATACCTAATGGGGGATTATAGCTTCGGCGTCTCATCCAGTGTAAGAACGTTGTCTCCTGTGGAATTCCAGACAAATTCTAACAGCACTTCACTGTTTTTTCCTGCTGAAACGATTACAAATACCATGCAAGATGAACTGCTGCTGGAAAAGACCACCGCTACCAAGCAGTCTCGAACGCAAACTCAGCAGTTGTCGACAAATAACGATGTTACAACAAATGGTGAACAGAGTTTAGATGAACTGAGAAAAACGAAAACCGAAGAATCAGGAACTGTTGTAAATGGACAGAGCGAGAAAAAAACGCCAGAAACATCAACAGCTGGAAATGGAACTGTAAGTTCACCCTTGCAACTGAACTTCTCAGATCCCACTCCAGGCACGGCCATCACAACATCTTCACCTAACTTTTGGTCTTCTGTGGCGTCAGATGACACATTTATACAAGGTATTCCAGCAGTTAATGGAACTTTGTCGTTTCAAAACTTTACTTCCACTCCTAATGTAAATCCTATGTTCAGTGCAGGCCTTGGACCGCAGCTTAATATACCTCAGCAACATCCTCCACAGAGAAGGGCTATTATTGGTGCTCATAACTTTGGACAGCCAAGGCATCAACCACAGCCACAGGCAAATTTATTTAAAACATATTCTAACTGGAATAATCCCTCACAGACTACTTGGTCTGCACCTCAGACTCAAAATACTTTGTCTCCATGGAATACCATGAAATTGGCTACGCAGAAACGATCTGTGCCAAATTTAAGTCCAATTTCCCCACTGAAGAAAAATCCACCTTCTGTTGGGCCTCACTCGATGGTGATATCACCGTCCAAATTCCGCAGAAGTACATCATTGCCACTTGGAAAACCATTCCCAAATAATATTGGAGGAAATCAATGTTTTGAAATGACAGGTGAAGATGGAAGAGATGGAAACATAAGATTACCATTTCAGGTGAGACTCTATTAATTTCTAAGATTTAAATAATGTGTGATAGCTGAAACTGAAAGTCATTTGAGAGTGAAATTTATGTTGTACATTAAACTGTTTAAAATATTTTTAGACATTACATAAAAGTATTACAGTATTGTTTAGAGATGATAAACTGTAATTTTTTATTGTAATTCAGTTGTGTTTTGAAAGTTCTTAAAACATTGTGAAGCCTAAAAATGGTGACTGAAAGACATTCAGCACATTGAGGTTACTCGTAATGCACCATTATAATTTCTTTATTTACATTTGTTCCTTCAAGGCTGTTGCTGTACACTGATTCATGAAAAGAAGTACAAATTTAAATAAACCCTTCATTTTTCAAGAACTCGTCTATTCTCCTTTTTAAACTCGTAGAAAAGAGCACTACATTGATGGTTTGAATGTTTTATATACCAGTGTGGTAAGATCCTTTTTTTTTTCAGTCATGCTACTGAATTAGACCCCATATTCCCATCTGTATTATGTGACCCAAATGCATTACCTTGTATTTACTACAGTTAAAAGTCATTTTCCAACTATTTGTCAAACTTACCAATTGATCCAAGTCATTCTGTAATGCCCCAAAATCTTCAGTACAATTGGACATTTCAAATTCTTTAATGTCTTCAACAAATTTTCCCTAATTATGTACTTATCAATATTATTAATGTAAATTAGAAAAAATCAAAAGCCCAAGCACTGACCCATGAAGAACATCACAGGTAACTAGAGCTGGGCAATTAATGGAATTTGTTAATTAATTAATTGCTGGGACTTATTAATTGATTACATTTAACTAAAGGGTTAACCTTATGAGGTAACTAAAAACAAAATAAGAACTTAACACTACTATTTGGGTTTATATGCTCACAATGGGCAGAGCACCGATAACCTATTGAGTAACTTTGTGCTTACTAACATACTATCGCAATGGCAATATATATCAATTACTTGGATAGTTGTAATACTTAGAAACCATAATTTTGATTAGTTGATTGTTTTTTATATTAATTGATTAATCATAAATTCAATTACTGGATAATTGGAATGATCAAACATTAATAATCAGAAACACTAGTTAATCATTTTCATGATATAAATCAATTTAATCATAATTTTAATCAATTTATTCTTTTATGTGGCACTAATCAATTTAATTCGATGCTCATTGGTAATGAATCAAGTTAATTGCCAAGCTCTACTAGTAACATAGGCCTAGTTTGACTGTGTTCTATTAATAACAACTTTTTGCTTTCTCTCACCTAGTTACCATATAATCCAATTAACTGGTCTGAACCCAACCCCTACTGATGTGATTTTCTTAGCTAATTTTCTATGTGCCATCAAAGGTCTTATCAAGAACTTTTGAAAAATCTAAATACTTCAAATCCATACCCTTTCTATCGGAAAACAAAACAAAAAACTTAATTTCAACGATCTTATAGCCCTAACATTATATAACAAAGCATACAGACAACAAGGGACCATTTGGACCTTCTACAGTGCCCTTGCATACCCACCTTTTATTTTTCACGAAATCAAATATTCTCTTTTTAAGTTCCTGTAAAATGTTGGCCTCCACTACTGCTGATGCAACTCGGTCACCTTGTTAGAAATATATATCTGTCTTAACTGGAGCCTAATCCAGCTTTTCCAAATCTTAAACTGGTGTTACCTTCAGAATATAGCACAAACAAGTGAGAACCTTTGGTCCTGTCAGTTCTGTGAATCATCTTGTACAGTTCAGTGATATCACTTCTTACCCATCTTTTCTGAAGAGAAAATAAGCAAAGAGATTTTAAATTAGTTAAGTCTTCCATCCTAATATCATCATAGTAGCCCTCTTTTGAACCTGTAAGTTAATATTCTTTCTTAGATATGGAATTGTTAGCATCCTTTAAGGGTTCACTCCCCACATTAACATTTTGCTTGCTATTTAATCTAACAAAGAACCCTGAGATACACTGCTTGTACCATTAATTCACTGTAATTTCATCTCATCATGACTTTTTACCACCTAACCAACTGTCACTACATCCAGCCAGCTAACCTTGGGTCCCAAGAGATGCAGTCTCCCTCAAAACTGTGTCTTAAATGGTAACTTATCAAAAAAATGTCCTTAATATACAAATATATCTGATCCATTGCTAACATAAGTTTGGATTAAATGTAACATTTATAAAGAAAGTTATGAAAGTTATAAGATACACCATGTCTAAATCTCTGCTATTTGTGATAACATGAAACTTGTCTAAATGATATTGTAGAATTTCTTTAATTGTAGACTCTAATAATTTCCTAACCACTGAAGTAAAAACAACTGACCAGTAATTACTTGGACATTGTATTTCTTTTGTTTAAATATCATGAATTAATTCAGTTGAATATTTAGCTGTGTTACAAAGAATAGTACTTATAAAGAAAACAATGGACCATTCAATGTTCCTTCAAGGATTTTCCTGTATACCCACCTTCAAGAAAAAACAACTAAAATTAAAAACCACCCTTTATTTTACATGAAATCATTGATTCCTCTCTTAAACTTTTTTATCTTTAAGATAGTGCCCTCCAATACTGCTGACAGTTGCTCATTCTATCATAAGTTTATCACTCTCTTAGAAAAATAAAACTGTTCTTGGATCTTTCTTTTTTTAATTAAGAACATGATGGTTATTGTAATTTTTAATAGGGCATAAAAATGGTGGACATGTATACATTTCTGTATCATGAGTAGTTTTGGTTATTTTACAACAGGAATAATATCAATTTTCTGTAAGTACTGTAGAAATGGACTGTTTCAAACCACACATGAATTAACTTGTATCTTCCCCAGTTACCAATACCAATATAATGTGTTCCAAACAGAGTATAAAACAAAGAGTATTTGTACTACTATCTTCATTCCCCTCAGTTGCTTATCTTAAGTCTGAAGGCTTATAAGCTAGAAACTTGGTTTCAATACCTGTGGTTGGTACAGCACAGAGCACATTGTGTGGCTCTGTGCTTTACAGCAAACAATCTACTATCTTCAACCAAACTACTTGCACCCTCTCCACAAATTACTGAATCTGGTACATAATTGGTAAGCTCTAGTCCTTGCTTCATTTTCATTTGTGAATTTTATACTACTTATACTAGAGGTTGATATTTATTTGATAGTTACTTGGGACAGATAAAATTGATTTGTTTTGTTAGCCTTGGTTTAACATTTTGTGTTGGAGTAAACCTAACATTTTCCTTCTTTTCTATTACAATTGATATCTTATCCTTAAAATTTTCAATTTCAGTACCTGACTTTATAACTTCCTTACTTTTTAATTGGATAAACAACTTTTGTGCTTAGGTATGACCTAGATAAGGTCAAATGGCCTTATTCCACCATGCCTTGACTATTAACTTCAACAATCCTTCCCACATCAAATTTACATATTTCACCACATCATTAATTGACTTTACCTTATTTTTTTTAATTACAATTAGGTATATGAATGTGAAAGGCTACTTACATTATGCGTGTTGTTTTGGTTTGTGGAAAGGCGAATTACTTCAGTAGATAAAATATCATTTTCTCACTTTACTTGTGATCTTTAGGCATGCCAATATTAATTCTCTTTGTTGATTTGACTCTACACACAGGTGTGTTTTTTTTGAGGTTTGTTCTTGTTAATGAGGGAGAAATAAACTTATTAATATAAACTATGTTTTAAAAGTTGCCAAATATATATTTTTCTTGTTGAAATGGGTCCTAATTTGAACAATTATGTAGGTACTGTAATACATACCTTAAACTTTGTTAAACTCTTTCTAGAACAACATTATAAATTTAAATAGGGAATGGTATCAGTATAACTGTATTGTGGCAGTTGAAATCTAGCACTCCATTTGATACAGCAGGATAAAAACCACATGATGAAAGGCCTTGCTGTTGTACTTATCTATGTGATACAGTGTTGTTTTTCTTCAGTCTTATAACCAACTTGCTGTGTCTTAATAAAACGATTTGTATAGAACATGCATGAAGAGGGGTTTGTTTCATAGGTAAATTTCTGACAGAGGTGTCATATACAATTATTATTCATTTTAAACATCAAACATCGAAGTAGTAAATGCTTTATCCAAGATCCTATATGGGTTGTTTTTTATAGCAATTGTTGTTGTTTTAGAAAGGCTTTCTTTCTAATTGAGTTCTACTAGTATCTATCTGTAGAAACTTTGAGATTGAAGTGATGAAGGTCATTGTCAGTTTATAAAAAACCAGGTTGCATGCCATTAGTTCCCCATGATGATGTCAAATGTTTAGAGTTCTCTTCCAGCTAGGATCACTTTAGAAGTTTGTTACAAGCCTACCTTGATTAGCAGATAATGTTATATAGCATAACTCTATGACTTTGGATAATCCATATTCTAGTTGAAATCCAAGTAATCTTTGCATCTAATACACGACCCAAACTGAAATTCTGTTTTGATGTTCAAGAAAACTTCTTGAGAAATGAAGAAAACATTTATATTTACAGCCTGTTTTTGAGAGCATGCATTTGTATATGAAGTAACAAATATTCCTTTTACTTCTATATGTTTGTAAGTTTTTGCTCTGTGTACTTACCTGTGTGTTGTACATCTATTAAAGTTCTTACGGACACGTATACGAGATACATAAAATGTTGAAATTAAGATATAAAATATTTACTCAACATTTAAAATAAATGTATTCATTATTGTTGTGTCATTCAAACATATAAGACAGTGTTCTTCGTTACATAACTTACCTCTTAACCCGTTAATAGTTGAGAATATTTTGGTATAGTGTAAACTAAATTATATTAAATATTGTTTTAATAATAATCTTATCATAATTTGACAGAAGTGTATCAAATTTATAATAAAACCTAACAATAAGAAAATTAATCTGTATATATGAATCATTTACTAGTTTATTCAACCATGTTTTGAAAAATACATTAATGTTGATTTATTTAACTTGA